TTTTTTTTGAGACAGGGTTTCCCTATGTAACAGTCCTAGCTGTCCTGGAACTAGCTCTTGTAGACCAGGCTTGCCTCGAACTCACAGGGATTCACCTGCCTCTGCCTCCCGAGTGCTGGGATTAAAGGCGTGCGCCACCACTGCCTGGCCCAGGTTGCGGTTGTTATTTCTTGTTGTTTGCTCCCCAGTGCCTTCACCTTCAGATTTCTGTGACCCTTCTTCTTACGCTGTGTGGTCTAGACTCTCCTCATCTTCATTTTGTAGACAGCTGCTCTCCTGGTAGGGGACTGGAGTCTCTGTATGGGAATCTAAGGGAGGGATAGAGTTTGCACAGGGCAGGATCAAATGTCTTCGATGCTGCCAGCCAAGGGAATGTCAGCCTCCCTGCTCATGGCAAGTGCAGAGGCCACACAACTCCTCTGGCACTTCTTAGACCTCACTCAACTGGATGAGGTTGGCAGAGGGACAGCACAGTTTGCCACTATCTAAATCATGAAGAAGATGGGCCAAGCCGTTTCCCTTCCCACACCAAACAACTCATTTGAACTCAGTACAGAACTCTCTAGTCGATTATTCATATTTAGTTTTGTGTTTTCCCACTAGTCAGAGAGGCTCTTAGATTTGGGGAGTGACCTTTTTTATTTTTATGTTTTCAGAGAAAAAAAACCCACACAATTAATACTTTCAGGCTAGCTCGGTTGGTAGGGCCCTTGTAAATCCCCAACACGGAAACAGAGAAAAAGAGAAAGAATGCTGATGAGCCCAACCTTTTTTTCCTTCCAGACAAAGTCTCACTATGAAGTCTTGGCTAGTCTGTGTAGACTAGGCTGGCCTCAAACTTCCAGAGATCTAACTACCTCTGCCTCCTGACTAAAGGATTAGCATTAAAGGCGTGCACCACCGCACCTGGCCACAGGCCTAGTCTTGCCTGCGCTTGCCACACCTGCTGTATATTCATGTGTCTAATACTATGCGTGACAAGAATATAGCATTTCTTCTTTTTTGTTTGTTTTTTCGAGACAGGGTTTCTCTGTAGCTTTGGAGCCTGTCCTGGAACTAGCTCTTGTAGACCAGGCTGGCCTCGACTTGCAAAGATCCACCTGCCTCTGCCTCCCGAGTGCTGGGATTAAAGGCGTGCACCACCACTCTCTGGCAAGACAGCATTTCTTAGCATTCCTCCCACCTCCAGCTTTTACATTCTTTCTGCCTTTCTTTCCATGATGTTCCCTGAGCCTTGCTTGCAGGGTTGGGTGTTGACATAGATGTCTTATTTACATGTGTAATACACTGCACTACCTTTATACAAATGGAAAAAATAAGTACAATGTTTCCAGGCCAATATACTGTTAACTTCTATGCAATGCCAATTCAACACAATAAACGGGAGATAACTTTTTCAAAGCAGACAACACAACTATAATTTGCAAGAATCAAAATTATATGTGTGTGTGGCACATATTGCTTCAATTTTTGTCTTCAGGTTTCTGCCTTGAATTATGCATGTGTTTTCATAAAAAGACCAGAGGGAGAGGGGCTATTTAAGATGGATATGATCAAAATACATAATGAAATTACTAAAAAAAAATAAAACATTCTTATTAGAGGATGTCTCAGTGGTTAGGAGCACTGGCTTTTGCAGAGGTCCAAAAGTTCAGTTCCCGGCACCCGCATAGCAGCTCACAACCGGCTGAAACTCCAGTTCCAGGTAATCCAACTCCCTCATCTCGCTGAGCCACTGCCCCCACACGGTGCATAGCCATACATGCCGGCAAAAACACTCATACCATAAGATAAAAATAAATAATAAAACTACTTTTGAAAAAGTCTGTCTTGGAAGATGTGGCAGATGACTGGCAAGTCCAGGATGCCAGACACGCTACGCCCTTGAAACGTGAACCCGGAGGGCTAAGGAGTAAGGACCTTCCGGCTCCACGCCCCGGCGGAACTAATTGTGACGGCTAAGTTTCCGGCCGGCACCCTATAGGTGACGCACGCACGGGGGTGGTGCGCGCTAGAGTGACGCAACTGCGCGCGCGGGCGGGGCCGGGCTGGGCCGCGGCGGTAGAGGCCCTGAGAGTTCAGTGCGACTCCAGCCCGTGTCCCCGCCGCCATGAGCACCAAACAGGTCACCTGCAGGTGAGTGCGCTGCGCCGCGGGGCCTTGGGCGCTGCCGGAGGGAGGTGAGGGGCCGAGCCCGACTGTGGCGGGCCGTGTACAGCGGGAATAACACGCAGGAACCCAAAGGCCGAGGAGAGGCTGGAGCGGCCAGAGCATCTGCAGCGGCGGCTTGCAGAGAGTGAGCCGGGAGGGATTGCGGGGAAACCCGGGCCGGTCGCATTCCTTATCCTGAGATGAAACCGAGACCACCGAGAGAGGTCAAAACGAAACCCATTTAGGAGCAGAAAGACAACATTGATGGATGGCTTGTTAGACGAGGTGGAGAACCAGAAAGCTATTCTTGTGACTGCTATTTTGAAATTAAAATAGTTGGGTTGAGTAGCAACGTCGATAACTCGGTGACGAGCTTGTGGCTGTTCTTGGGCTTTAGTCCTGTGGGTTTGCATGCTTGGGAAGTACAGCTTGTAAGCATCCCGAATGTGGAAATCCAAATTTTGAAATGCTTCAAAATTCCAAGCTTTTTGAGTGCCGACATGGTACTACAAGTGGAAAATTCCACACCATAATATTTTGTTATATTAAAAACAAAAATTATCGGAAATACTGTTTAAAATTTTCAGGGTATGTGTATACGATGAATTCCATGTTTAGACTCTTGTGCTATCCGCAAGACATGTAAATAAAAATACTCTAAATTACAAAAAAAAAAATAAGACATGCCCAAGCATTTTTGATAGAGGAGCTTCGGCTAACAAAAATTTCAGTTGGTTTCAGTGAATTAAGAAACATGTCCCGGGCGTTGGTGGCACATGCCTTTAATCTCAGCACTCGACGGGGCAGAGGCAGGCGGGTCTCTGTGACTTCAAGGCCAGCCTGGTCCAGAGTGCGTTCTAGCACTGGTTCCGTACTCCTGAGTAACCCTGTCTCGAAAAACAAACAACAAAAGACAGAACGAAAAGAAGCAGAGATGTAGTTTGGCTATGTGATAAACATTCCATTTACTTCCCTTGTTGCCTCTCATTACAACACCTTTATGAAGAGTTCTTTTTGAATTCGATATAAGGGTTAATTGAGCCAGATACCCAGGGCCCAGGTGGCTTATGTTAAGTAGTTATCAGAAAACTGCAGTTAGTGTCTGTGTGTTAGCTAGTTTTGTTTTCTTGACAGCCAGAGTCATTGGGGAATTGATACAATGCTCCTACCAGACTAGGCTGTTCCCTATGGGTGGTGCCACCCCTGGACTTGTGGTCTTGGGTGTTGTAGGAAAGCCTGAGCGATTCAGTCAGCAGTGCCCCTCCAGGGCCTCATTGTTAGTCCTTTATTGATTTCCTTTAGCGATGAGAACTCTCCTCCCAAAGCTGCTTTTGGTCATGGTGATTTATCACAGCAACAGAGACTTTGAGACAGTCTGTCACAGCCTTGTGGATCATTGGTACTAAAATGTCTTTGTTGAGGGGGAATGTGCATGTATTCACACTTTCTCTTTGCAGGAGGAAAATGTTCCTATCATAGTGTCCTACCTCTGATGTGGGCTACTTTGAAAATAACTTAGTGGGTTTTTGTTGTTTGTTTGGTTGGTTGGTTGGCTTTTTGAGACAGGGTTTCTCTGTGTAACAACCCTAGCTGTCCTGGAACTAGCTCTTGTAAGTCAGGCTGACCTCAAACTCCCAGAGATCCGCCTGCCTCTGCCTCCCAAGTGCTGGGATTAAAAGCGTGCGCTACCACCGCCTGACCTTTTTGGTTCTTTTTGGTTGCTTGCTTTGGTTTTTTGTTGTTGTTGTTGTTGTTATTGTTCATTTGTTTTTGTTGTTGTTTTCTGAGACAGAGTTTCTCTGTGTAACTTTGGAGCCTGTCCTGGAACTCATTCCAAAGACCAGGTCCGCCTTGAACTCAGAGATCCTCCTGCCTCTGCCTCCCAGTGCAATAACTAAAGGCATGTGCCACCACCTCCCTTTGAAAATAACTTACAAAATTGCTCGCTTATGGTTTTGACAATTGTTTGAGGCAGGGTCTCTATTGTAGCCCTGTCGGTCCTTGAACTTGCTGTGTAGATCAAGCTAGTCTTGAACTCAGATCTGCCAATCTCTGCCCTTCCTTGCTAGGATTAAAGGTGTGTACCACCACACCTGACTGCTTTATGGTTTAATTCCACCGCTTAGGCTTTCCTAAGATGTATGACTACAAAAATCTTAAGTCAAGCCATTTTGATTCCTTTTTGGTGTTTTCTCTTTTGTATCTGGAGATAACCTGATCCGTAAGCTCTGTCTCATTAGTAAGAGGGTCCTAAGGGCTGTTTCTGGGAAAGAATAGTTTCTGTTGACGGGCTAACTGGTGTTTGCGGGCTTCTTTCTGCAGCCCTGGCAAGTCATACAGAACGTGGTGCTGTATTGGTTGCGCTCTACCTGACAAGAGCAGCTTAGTGAAGAAAGGGTATATTCATTCTGATCACAGGTCGAGGTTACAGTTCGTGATGAAGGGGGAGTCATGTGATAGGAGGAGCATGAGAGCAATGACTATTGGTGCTCAGCTCACTCTTTTTTAATTCCGTCTTGACCCAGCCTAAGGAATGGCACCACCACATTCATGGTGGGTCTTCCTCCTCTGTTGGCCTAATCTGGATGATCCCTCACAGACTTGGCCAGAGACTTGTCTCTCCAGTGATTTGCAGCCTGTGCTCTGTCAACTGGACAGTGAAACAACCTCAGGATTGTCATGTTTTCCCTAAGCTCAGCTTCAGAGTGGTGCAGGTGTGATGGCTAGTATTGAGTCTCATAGCTCGTGCTCAATTAAAGGATATTTCAGAGCTTTTGTTTGTCTTTGTTTTTCTTTATTATTTTTTACATACCAATCTCAGTTAACCCTCCCTCCATCTCCTCCCACCACCTGTCCCCACCTCATCCCCCATTCATTCTTCAGAGAGGGTAAGCCCCCCCCCCAGGTCATCTAAGTCTGTCCCATCACCTCCTTGAGGCAGGACCAAGGCTTTTCCCCCCACCCCACCCCGTGCCTAGGCTGAGCAAGGTTATCGCTTTGTAGAGAATGGGCTCCACAAAGTCAGTTCATGCATTGGAGTTAGATCCTGGTCCCACTGCCAGTGGCCCCATATGCTGCCCAAGCCACATCATTGTCACCTGTATTCAGGGAGCCTAGTTTGGTTCTATACAGGTTATCCAGTTGTCAGTCTGGAGTCAGTGATCTCCCACTAGCTCGGGGTCAGCTGGTTCTGTGGGTGTCCCCATCATGGTCTTGACCCCTTTGTTCATATTATCGCTCCTCTCTCAGTTCTATTGTACTCCGGGAGCTCGGTCCAGTGGTCAGTTGTAAATCTCTGCATCTGCTTTCATCTGTTTTTGGAAGAGGGTTCAAGCTTCTCTGGAGTTGTGGACTGTAGATTGGTAGTCCTTTGCTTTATGTGTGGTATCCACTTATGAATGAGTATACACTGTATTTGTCTTTCTGGGTCTGGGTTACCTCACTCAGGATGGTTTTTTTCTACTTCTATCCATTTGCCTGGAAATTTAAAGATGTCATTGTTTTTTACTGCTGAGTTACTACTCCATCCACTGTGTAAATATACCCCCTTTTTTTTTTTTAATCCATTCTTCGTTTGAGGAGCATCTAGGTTGTTTCCAGGTTCTGGCAAGAATAATGCTGTTATGAACATAGTTGAACATATGTCCTTGTGGTATTACTGAGCATCCTTTGGGTATATACCCAAAAGTGAGTGGTGTTGCTGGGTCTTGAGGTAGATTGATTTCTAATTTTCTGAGAAATCGCTATACTGATTTTCACAGTGACCGTACGTTTGCTCTCCAACCAGCAATCGAGGAGTGTTTCCTGTACTCCACATCCTCTCCAGCATAAGCTGTCGTCCGTGTTTTGGATCTTAGCCATTCTAATTGGTATAAGATGGTATCTCAGAGTTTTGATTTCCTTTTTCCTGATGACTAGGGATGTTAACATTTCCTTAAGTGCCTTTTGGCCATTGGAGATTTTTCTGTTGAATTCTGTGTTTAGATCTGTACCCCATTTATTAATTGGATTATTTGGTAGTTTGATGTCAAGTTTCTTGAGTTCTTTGTATATTTTGGAGATCAGCCCTCTGTCCGATGTGGAATTGGTGAAGATCTTTTCCATTCTGTAGGCTGCCGTTTTGTCTTGTTGGCCATGTCCTTTGCTTTATAGAAGCTTTTCAGTTTCAGGAGGTCCCATTATTAATTGTTGCTCTCAGTGTCTGTGCTACTGGTATTATATTTAGGAAGTGTTCTCTTGTGCCAATGCATTCAAAGCTGCTTCTCACTTTCTCTTCTTTGTGGTTCAGTGTGGATGGATTTATGTTGAGGTCTTTGATTATTTGGACTTGAGTTTTGTGCATAGTGATAGATATGGGCCTATTTGGATTCTTCCACATGTCGACATCTAGTTATACCAGCACCGTTTGTTGAAGCTGCTTTCTTTTTTCCACTTTATATTTTTAGCTTCTTTGTCAAAAATCAGGTGTTCATAGGTGTGTGGGTTAATATCAAGGTCTTCAGTTTGATTCCATTGGTCCACCTGTCTGTTTTTATGCCAATGCCAAGCTGATTTCATTAATGTAACTCTATCATAGAGCTTGAAGTCAGGGATGGTGATGCCTCCAGATATTCCTTTATTGTAGAGGGTTGTTTTGGCTATCCTGGGTTTTTTGTTGTTGTTGTTTTTCCATATGAAATTTAATATTGTTCTTTCAAGATTTGAAAAATTGTGCTGGGATTTTGATGGGTATTGCATTGAATCTGTAGATTGCTTTTGGTAAGATTGTCATTTTTACTATGTTAGTCTATCCATGAGCATGAGAGATCTTTCCATTTTCTGATATCCTCTTCAGTTTAGTTCTTCAAAGACTTAAAGTTCTTGTCATACAGGTCTTTCATTTGATTGGTTAGAGTTACCATATGATATTTTATATTGTTTGTGGCTATTGTGAAGGATGATATTTCTCTGATTTCTTTCTCAACCCCTTTATTATTAGTATATAG